AACCTTTCTTATTTTTTCACAGAGGTAAAAATACTCTGGAAGAAGCCTTAAGGGAGCTGTTATAAAACACACTGTACTCTGAGCAACAATTTCATTCAGTCTATTACATAAAATTGCTCATAGAAAGTCAACAGAAGTTAGTCAGAAAAAAACATATCCAAGAACTGTGCCAGGCTGATGCCTGATAAACAAAACAAAAGGACTCAAAGCTAAATGACCAGAAAATGGGCATTAGAAAATTTCACATATGGTGGATGTAAGATGAATTTGTCTTTTGGGCAACCTGATTCGATAACAATGCCACGGAGAAAAACAGGATTGAATGGGCTTTTATGGCAGCGGCTATCTCCTTGATCATTCTCAGCCTAAAATAATCCATGGATCTTCAACTCTCTTGTCCTAGGAAAACTGAAGCTGACTTTGTCATCTTTACTTTCACTAAAAGACATGGACTTTGAGACCAATACTCAGGCTAGGGCGTCTTTCCTGTGGTCTTTTTCAGTCAGTTTCTTCTCTTTCCTTTCTTCCTCAGCCTCTGCATGGCTTAGTTAAACCACACAGCGTCTCTGGAAGTATTGCTACAAGCCCAGCATCAAAAAAGGCAGCTGAAAGCAGCAATTCTAACACTGTGGAGAAGTTTGTCAGATTTCCAGCTCTACACTGCATTTTGGAAAGTATTCCAAGGTTGCCTTCATCTTCTGTCTATGCAGACAGCTACGCTTGAACAGATCCCCAGACACAACCAGGCATTCCCCATAGCACACATTGAGAATCCCAAGTACCATCCTGATAGCCAAGTATAATGTGCCCAGTATATCTGGGCAAGCTGCACAGGCTAAAGAGAAGATGTGAAGCGGAGGTGCAAAAGTGATGGAGCATGTCCCTAGGAGCAGAATCACCCTCCCAAGGGGTGGTAACGTCACCTCTGTGTTCCTTACTTGTATGGCAAATTAACAGGCTGTGTCAGATGTGTTTATCTGTGCGGTCCTTTCTATCCTCCCTGTGGAAATGTTTATTTTGTACTGTCTTCAAGGAAACCAGCTCAGACTTTAACAGCAACAAAATCAGTCCAAACCATGACACCTGCTGTTTCTGTTTCTCCTTCTTGCCCATAAAGGACAGCTATTATCATTTAAAAGAACACCAAATGACAACATTCCTCAAAAAAAAAAACAAACAAACAAAAAAAAACCTTTAACTTCACTCCCTTTACCCTCACTCCCTCTTACCATTGAATTTCCAGTTTTGGAAAGAAGAGGAAAATTATGATTCTCAAGGGAAGTAAAATGATACTGTTTCAACAGGCAGTCTATAGGCAAGTCACTGGGATATTAGGAAAATAGTAGGCTATCTACCTGCCCATGTAAGCATGAAGACAACCAAGTGGGCTTTAGATTTTTAGCATGGCCATTCTCTAGATGCTAGATTTGAAGGTTGTTTGCTTTACTCCTCCATTCACTTGTAAATTTGCTAGCAAAACCTAGGCTTCTAGACCTCCACTTTTCTAACATCATCCCTTTTGGAAAGCCAATTCCCCAGCACCTTGAGATATCCTTGAAACAGAATATCTGACTAATTTCATCTGCCTCACAGCTCTTAGGCAGGTATCCAAAGAGTTTCCCAAGTTTTGGCTCACCCAGAGATGCTGGTATGTGTATCCTGGACTTTCCAGCAAGCTGAGGAACTTAAAAATCTGAAAGCACTGAAACCTCCCAGAATATTGTGACCTTTGCAGTTTGAAACACTGTGGAGCATCAGTCTTGATGAAAAATGCAAGATCCTACAAGCTCTGCAAACCCTTTTTTTTTTCCCTCATCTGAACAAATTCCCTTTTTCTAGCCATACATAGCAGTAGTTGGTACATAACCAATGCTTCTTCATTTCTAAGCAAGGTGGCAGAAGCTATAAATATACTCAAAACAATCTTTCAAAGTTTTCTTTCACAAAGTTTTTCTATCACAAACAAAGTTGATATTTCTAAAGTAAAGCGTGATAGAATCTGAACTGTGAATTATCCAGGTAGTGCCATGGTAAGAAAAAAACAAACAAAACAAAAAAGCAGGAGAACCATTAAAAGCATAACTTTACATCTGAAGAGCTCAAAAAGTAAAAAGAAGCTCTTTTAAAAACTGGTTTCCTGAAAGAAAAAAAAAAAAAAGATTTTCCTTAATGGTCAGTTATTTCTGACACCTCAAATTCACTCCAGCTTTACATTCTCATCCACCAGAAATGAGAACTTCATGACTGTGGCCATGGCTTGACAATGCTTCTTTCCAGCTGCCCAGGAGCATAGCTTGATTTGCATCAGGTCTGAACGGGTACATGACTATTCTCCTGAATTATAAAGGACATATCGATATAGAATATATGCTGGCTTCATACAAACAAAGTTGAAAAATATGGATAAGCATAAAGTCTGCCAGGACAAAATCAGAAAGTCAGCACTTAAACATATAAATTAAACCAACAGAGTGATCATAAAAGAGATTGGTGTTATTCACCTGGCAGGAGCCCGAATTCATCAGACTGCATAATATCAAAGTCCAGCCTCAATGTTTACTATTTGTTTTAGCAGGTGGAAGATTCTGTTGATTTCTCTGACTCCTGGAGATCATAAATTTTTATTATACCCACTGGTATAAAAATTCTTGCCACTGCCCTCAGTCACTTATTTTTTCATACATTCTGACTATCATCCACATTTAGGACTACCACAGACAAATATACACAAAAGGCCAAACACGGGATCAAAAACAAAGAGACTGCCAGAAACAAGGAAAAACAAATTCCAAAATTCTCAAACTATAGAACTCAAAGAGACCAATTCACTTGCATTTAAAAGATTTCACAATGAGGTCGGAAAATGCTGCTTAACAAAAGGAATTGTTATTTAAATTCAGTACTCACCAGACCTGCTGAATGGGACTGTGAATGCATTGACCTCATGGATGACATACTGGTCTGATGCATGTATCCATACCCTTGGGATTGGCTTTGCTGATACGCCCCAGGGAGAACAGGGGCTGTGCATTAAGGAAAGACAAACACATCACTGTAAGTTAAAAGAACATCCTTATCCAGAATTCCTACAAGTTGTAGTCTGTTTCCTGATTAAGGATCTACACTTTACAGAACTGCTCAGTTCAAAACTGTTGAGAATTTCATACACTACATACAACATACAGCTTTCCATATACTGAATTATAAATAAATGTAACCAAAGCTATGGCAACATATCCACTGATACCATCAAGTGTAGTTGGAAGGAAAAGCTTAACAGACCTTAAGGAATTTTAATCATAAAATACCCCTAAAACTACCACATCATTAACCCAGTTTTAATACTGCTGCAGATAATGTACTAAATATGAATGCTATCACATGCCACAAAATGCCATTTTTTAAGTAAAGACTGACCAAAGCAAAGGTTTATACTGGCATATATATTGGCAAAGTTTAGAAACGTCTTCGTAGAATTCAAAAGCAATTAATTCCTAATTAATTAATTCCTAATTAATTGCAAACTAACTTTTTTATGGACCATGCACAGCAACAACAAAGAAAAACTCCTTCACAGGGATAGTCATAAATGTAAAGAGGTGCATCCAAAGCTGGGTTTCTTAGTATATTCTGATTCCATTAACATTCTTAGTCAAAAATAGAGGTTAGTAATTATTTAATTATTTCAAAGTCTGTCTCTTTCAGCATCTTCGTCTTACAACATCTCTCTTCCATTTCTCCTTCATGTATTTTTTCATATTGTTTTAACAGTTCTGAAGATTCCTAATCATAATTATGTTGTTGTTGTCTTTTATTGCACCAATAGCCACCGAATGAGCTAACACGACAAAGACTTGTTACCTCTGTTGCTTTCTACAAAAGCTTTAGTAGCCCTTCAATATCAGTTCAAACATCCTGCTTTAGCAACAGACTGAATCAAAATGTGTTAAAAAAACGTTTGATAAAAATCTGAAAATACTGAGAAATAAGCAGAGCACGTGAGAAATAACCTCAGCATAGGTGACTATTCACTGCTTCAAGGACTATTGGACTATTCAAGTCCAAAAAGTATTTTTAAAGGAAAACTAAAGATTGAAATGGTTTCTAAAAGATTAAAAGTTTAGTCAACTCATGTTTGTGCATGTTTTACAAAGGACCAAACTTCACAAGTCCGACTGGAAATTCATTTAGCAACACGAAAATGTATTTCCTGTGACACATCTGCAAGCAATCCATTCAGCCCATATTCCACCAGATTCTTCTGACAAAATCCATCTTTCACTTCTATAAGATGGAGTTCATTCAGCCCATGAGTCAAAAGCTTCAAGTGTGGAGTCATTCAGCAGTCACACTTTGTGTGACATGTCTCTTGGGCTGGCTGGGAAGCAAGGAACCATTTCCAGAGCAATCACCACACACAGATTCAAGCAGAAGCAAAGCTAATGTATGGTTTAATGCACAGGTATGGAAGGACTCACATCTTGTAGTATGAATAGGAAACCTTCATACCAAAATAGTACCCGACGTTATACGCATATATGAAAATTCCAAATATTTATGTTTGGATTAATAATGCTCTGTCCTTGTTGGCTTCTCTAGCGACCGGAACAACAGATAGGTGTGAAAAGGATTACTAAGAGGTTTGCTGAGCTATGTCTGAAAGAAAGGTTGGCCTTGTGCTTTCAACACGGAGTTTTACCTAACTTGCTTCTCCAGCTAGTCATATGATTGATATGAATAAAGTATTTTCTTAAAGATCATTTATTTTGCTTAGCATAATCAAGCACACTGGGTAAATAATTAAAACTTTGGATGTTATCTTTTTTACCTAGTATACTTTTAAAGATAGAAAAGTATAGCTAAGATTTTTCTGGTTTAGTAAATATGCTTCAAACTATTGTAATGAATAGATTGCTTTGTTAAGTGAGTGAAATTAAAGTGAAACAGTCAGATGCAACACTGGAACATGATGAATAATGGATGTTTTAGAAGTGCCAAGTTCATTCTAATGACATATGAGCACAAAGACATTTTAAAGCAGTTTAATCATCAGAGAATTGCTGCTCGTTAACATGTTCTCAGAATTATCATGCATTAAGTGAATAGCCCTAAGTAGTTCATCAAATAATTTATGTTTCAGTGTTGTTACAAGCTCTTTCTACATGACCAGATGTAGCCCTTCATGTGAGAAAAGAGAGAAACATAATTTAATCAAAGGTTCTGTGTTCAAGCCTGGATGAATACATTTTGCCTATTTTTGCCTAATTTACCACAAGCATAATGGCTTGTCAGCTCTTAGAAACCAATGGAGTCTCATCTCCTCATACCAGTAGTAAATTGGTCAAGTGGTTCAAAATTGAGCACAGCTTGAACTTTTTAACTTATTAGGAAATAGTATCTAAACTGGAATCAGCCGCTGATCTATCAGCACTGTCTGCTCTGCAGCCATGAAGAGCTATGAGCCACTTTCCTTGTTCCCTGGGAGGGAAAGATTCTGAAGACGTCTTTCTTCTTCCTAAGTGAAGATGTTGATAGAAATGCTTCACTCTCGACTCCTTCTCCTCATATCTCATCTTTCCCAACCCTTACCAATTTGCCTCTGTGAGGCAGCAAGCCAAATGACATTCTTTGTTATATCCTCCAAATCGAGGGGCTTAATTCAGGAAGGCCAACCCATACCTCCCATCTCCGCGACAATAGGCAGCAGCAGGTCTGAGATGTGCTCTCCTCTTTTCCTCGAGTTTCTTTCCAGCTGAGAGAATTACCTCAAGCTGTGCCACAGAATCTACTAATTTACTTGCTACAATTGAAATCAAGCCCAGAGAAACAAAGCATGTCTTCCAAAGTATGAAAGATTTTGGGGAGCATTATAAACTGAAACATTACACAAAGCTTCCAGATAAAGAGAAGGAGTTTCTAGGATTCCACGGCTTGATTAATTATCTTTCAGTGTTTTAGTTAAGCTGCCTGTATGAAATCAGCGTGGACCATAGCTGACTGAATAGCTCCATCTTTTCTTCCGCTAAAAATACTGTAGTAGGGCTGCAAAAATCTGCAGCTTTTAAGAAAATTTCAAGAAATCTTCAGAATGTTGCCTATCTGGTTACCACATAAATCGGCCAATTAGTTAAGGGGAACAGATGTAAGCTATGGGTTTGGCTGCACACAGATAACCCAAGATGAGACTAAATGATGCAGGAAAAAGAAAGACTGACTTTTCTTCATCATCATCACGCACAGATAAAGGTAATATTTTGGCTCAGACTAAAGTATAAAGTTCTGTAACATCATTGACTGAGGCAGCAGCAAAAACAATGGTTTTAGTTAACCTGGGGGAACAATAAAGCACAGTGGTGGAACATAAAATTCATTTAGCTGAAACCAAATTTATTGGTGAGGGATCTGAGGGCTGACCATTGCTCCCAGAAGTACAGGTGGGAGTTGCAGTAAGACTTTAGCAGATGCATTCTGAGGTACCAAAACTCCCCCCACCTATTTTTTTCTTTTTCTTATTTTAGGTTATCTACTAGAAGGAATTTATCATGTTTTTCTTACTATAGATTTATAGGCTTCCCCGGCAGAAATGAAAAAAAAAAGTGGAAAATGAATGTATGAGCTTGCTACAGCAGACCATGGGATCTGAACTGCATGTACTTGTCAGGATATGCTTTGAGAAGGACTGTGAGAAAAAAAAAGGTCAGAAAGAAACAGAACGAATAATTACGAGAGCATTACATGGCTACAAGATAAAATAAAAGTTTATGCTGGAAATAAAAATCATTTAAATGGCATTTTCCAAAACACATTGATAAGATTTGTGATAAGGCAATCACACCTGTTAATGGTAGACATCGTTATCTCAAGGATCTTGTGCTGGTGAATAAAATCAACTAACTAAAGCCCAGTGACTGTTGCCCCTCTAGATTACGTACTGTCTCCTTTAATGAGCTAGCATGACAGCGACTGACAGCTCATGGTAAAACCCTGGATAGCCACTGGTAGCTATAGCATTTTCAAAATTAGCGAGTAAGCAAGCATACAGTAAAAATACATCTCATTTACTGCAGCCCAATACAATAATAATCAAGCTATTTATTCTTACAGACATGACACAGTTTTAAGTATTTTATTTCAAGCTTTGATGTGATCTTAACTCATGGTTCCACCACCAACCTAGTAAGATTTCAGAGCACCTGCTAAATCCTTTACATGATTTTGTAATAATAAGACAGAGACTAGAAAGTAAAAAGAAGGACAAACATTATTATTTGTTTAGTTTTAACATACATAAGACAATGATTAAGCTGTAGATTTCCAGGAAGAACAAAAATTCAACAGTTCTAGAATACAGCATTATCTTTACATCATTATTTACATCTTTGTGTTACTGACATTATGACTATCCCCCTTAAGCTGCTTATAGGTACTGTGTTGCTGTACTTATTTTGAAGTCCTTCCCCCATTTTGCCTTGCTGGTGCTTTCCTTTCCACTGGTTGCAACATCCAGAAAAGCATACATGGTCTTTATGCCTTAGAAAGTCTCTCCTATAGCCTTCAACTCCTCCTTTCTTTTGCATTTTGAAGTTATTCAGTTAGGTCGAGCATATTTTCAATACATTGTCAAAGTAATCACACATGTGTATATGGGGAACTGTACATCTAGAGCACATCTAGGTCTGGGGCATATTTGGAGTATACAGGAATATCACAAATGTTGCACGTGTGGATTATTCCCTGAATTTCACAGTTTTCTTGACCACTTTCAAATCCAAGTTACATGACTACACACTTAAGGAGATATAGCCTTAGAGTAAACTCATTACTGCATTGAAGCTGGTCACAATATCAGCTGACACCGATTAAAAGCTCCAGAAAGTGTCGCTGAAATAACTTCAGTTTCAGACTTTGACTTAGTACTTGATATCATATTTTTGATCACTTTCCCAGATGTTGGCTGCTGCTCCACATCATTAAAATCTTCAAGGTGTTTCGGGGTACAATTTGTATTACCAACCACATCCTT